TTACCCTTTTTTATCCTGATTTTCTGTTGTTTCCATATATCATTATTATGGGGCTTCTATTCGATGTCCTGACTGGGTCTGGTATTGTGATATTAGATATACTATTCTGCCAGATCCAATTACACGATATATTTAACATCTGTGTTTTAAAATTTTTATATTATCCTCATCTTATTTCCTTATATCTAAAGTTTGTAGCATGTATGCGTTTGTATCCTGCATCTTGCCGTGGTCCGTTATATAGCTTATGCCATTCACTGAGGGGATCTCTATACCCCATAGTTCATTTTTGTGCACTGTTAATATTACAGATACTGGCACTTTCACTCCCTATAAAGGTATAGCATCTACTATTTATTCCTGGGGTCTGTGACATATTGTTTACAGTTCACTCCCTGGGGTCTGTGACATAGTTAACAATCGTGTCTGGGTTTTTACATTGAGACTTCTCTGTCTCCTCCTCATTACATGGTAGATCGCGGATCCACGGCAAAATGGCGCTGCCGTGCTCGCGCATGCGCAGTGCGCGTTTGTCTTCGGGAAAATGGCCGCGGCTCATTGCGCATGTGCCAGTTCCCCTATTTCTTACACTGGCGTCGGTCACGCTGCTGTGCAGTCTCCCCTCTGATGATGTGCCTTTAGCACGAAAGGCCTAAGGAGGAACTGCACAGAGCGTGACGTCATATACCCGCCGGAGCCACGAGGAGGCCCGGCGTTTTACACCACTGGGGGTCAGTACTGCATCTGTTTACTCTATGCACTTCACATATCATGATGTACCATATGCTTACTGTCCTGCTGCTATTTTGATGAATAAACCTGAGATTTTGAACATACTACACTATTTTGGGCATTTGTTTTCTGGGGCTCCTATCTGGAGCTTTCACTCCCATAGAGAAAGCACTTTTGCCATCCTGAGAGGAGGTTTTTTCCTGGAGAAGGGAACACCTGGCTTACCTTAAGGGGATCCCCCGGACCTGTTACAGGAGTCTGTGATGACCCACCGTGAGGGAGACGCCTGGCTGCCTGGATTCTGATGTTCCCATTGCCCGTGATGCATAATCACACATGCGCATAACCCATGCGTTTCCGGTGAGTGCGCATTTCTGTTACTCTGATAAAGTGGAAGCCGTGGGATTCCGTACCTCTACAGTTTATCATTGTGATACCAGATTATCACTCTATTGACTTTTTATTCTTCTTAGCGCTGCACTTCATTATTTTATTTTTGACTGTTTATATATTTAAGGCATTATGGTTGCCTAATGTGTTCTAGCTGCTGACATCTATTAGAGCGCTCACTACCTATTTTATATGTTGGCTGCTTGACGTCTAGGCACGAAACCTACTTGGTCAACGAGGGTGGGAATTAACGCATTCAATCTGGTAGCTAAGGTTTTGGTCAAAATTTTAACATCCACATTCAACAAGGAGATGGGGCGGTGGTTTGACCAGGATTGATGATTCTTCCCCGGTTTGGGGATCATGACTATATGGGCCTTCAACATCTCCGAAGTCACCTGATCATCCTTTTTAAGATGATTGAATACTTGAGTTAAGATGGGAACGATATCACAAAATTTCTTGTAGAAAAGAGCTGTAAAACCATCTGGGCCAGTGCGTTTGTACATCTTCAGGGATTTGATTGTTTGTCGAAGTTCATCTTGCATGATATCTGCTCCTAGCGTATCTTTTTGGGCTTCCGTTATATTAGGTAGAGGGGTGTCACAAAGGAAAGCCGCAATGGCATCTGTTGGAACATCTTTTGCGCCTGCATAAAGTTTCGATAGGTGGTGAGAAAACTCATCCACTATATGCATCGGATTAGAAGCTCTCAAGCATCTTCTCGTTTTCAGAGTATAATGGTGTTGCTTGGGGGCAAACGAGCGAAGTTTGTTAGCTAGCATAGTCCCAATTTTGTTCCCGTTCACATAAAATTTCTGTCATGACCAACGCATATGACGTTCTGCCTCATCTATTAAACAGAGATTAAGGTCAGTTCAATGCCACTCCACTTTCCGCCTTAATGTAACCGTAAAGGTCTGTTTAAAGAGTAACGTGGCTTGCTCCAGATCTTTTTCTAGGGATGGTCTTTGTCGATCACGTTCTTTTCGCCATCTAGAGGCTAATTGTATAATATGGCCACAAATGACTGTCTTTTAAGCCTCCCAGGTAGTGACGGAAGAGGAAACTGTGCCTCATTAGTTCGGAATATTCAACAAGTGGGGAAAAGGAGAGAAGGGAGTCATTGAGGCACCAGGTGGGGGCTCTAGGATGTTGAGAAGGAATAGTGCAACTGACCAATACAGGATCATGGTCTGACCAGGGAACCGTGGGAATCGCAGTTGAAGACAGGTGAAGAAAGGAAGGGGTCACAAAGACGTGGTCGATGCGGGAATGACTTGAGTGAGGATTGGAGTAGTAAGTGTAGTCTTTAGAGGTGGGATGGAGTTCTCTCCAAGCATCAATAAGATTATGTCCTAATTCCTAATCCTAGCAATTGGATATGACTGAGTTAGGGAAGAATGGCTATTCATTTTATTTTGTTTAAAACCACTTGGCAACCACGCTATAGTCAAATGACAGCTACAGCGTGGTTGTCCAGTTCTGGGAGGGCATCATATGATGTCCTCCCAGAACGCGCTCTCCCGCGATCTCCATGATTGCTGTTTCCTACAGACACAGCTGATCACGTGATGTGGTAAAAGGCCAATCACAGCTGCCTTTTACAACGTGATCAGCTTTGTCCAATGACACAGCAGATCACCGGGTAAATGCAGTTGCCGGTTATCAGCTGCACTTTCCTCACGCTGTCACAGCATGAGGAAAGTACTGCCGATAACCAGCAATTGTCTGAAAACAGATCGGCACTGATGATTAGTGCCCTAATGATCCGTGCCCAGCAGTGCCACCCACAAGTGCCAAGCAGTGCCACCCACAAGTGCCACCCACCTGTGCCCATCAGTGCCATCCACCTGTGCTCATCAGTGCAACCCACCAGTGCCCATCAGTGCAGCCTCATCAATGCACATCAGTGAAGGAGAAAAATTACCTGTTTACAAAATTTTATAATAGAAACAAAGAAAAACTTTTTTACGCTTTTTTTGTTTATAGCGCACAAAATAAAAACACCCAGTGGCGATTAAAGACCACTAAAAGAAAGCTCTATTTGTGTGAAAAAAAAAACTATAAAAATTTCACATGGGTACAGTGTTACATGACCGTGCAATTGTCATTCAAAGTGCGACAGCGCTGAAAGCTGAAAATTGGCCTGGGCAAGAAGGGGGTATAAGTGCCCTGTAGGCAAGTGGTTAAAGAAAACTACTTCCAAACATTCCTATGCACTTTGTACTCGAAAAACAGCAGGAATGTATTTTACATTTATTTGCTTTATATACATTGACTGGATTATATTCCTATAGTTATTCCTATACCCTAGTCTTATTGATAAAGCCAATGCTAATCACCCTAATCAACAGCGGAGCAAAAATCCTAGCAATTGCAACACAAGATTTATGCACTGCATGGAACAACCATTATTAAAAATGAAAAGAACCGTAAAAAAAAAAAAAAAAAAAAAAAATGTAAAAGCATACACATGCTTAGATTGGTAAATCAACTGTCACAGGCTAATCTACTGCATCCCTGCTGGAGTATATGTAAACCCAAACAATGAACTTGAGTTATTTTCTCCCTTTTGGTCTGCTTGAATATACAATCTTGTTATATCTGTTTGATAAATGCCAAAAAAAGCAAAGAGAAAAAGGCAATACTGCTAGAAATTTTCTAAACTGATAATTTCCTGTGTTCCTGCCTGTGTGGACTAGTCTCCTCTGCAGACTAAAAACCACAACCCCGTCTGTTATGGACATGGAGAACAGGGGCTGTTCTATAGTCCCATCCTAATGCTCCTCCTAAATAGATGCAGTATAGTGATTGAGCCTGGTCACCCTAGGACAGAAGTGTGTTACCTGCAGGATTATCAAGTAAACATAAATCAAAAACAAGCCTGCAAGAAGAAAACTAATGCAGCCACCACACCTAAGGACTGCTAGGTTGCAATATGTTAAAATGCTTTTCTTGGGTTTAGGTATACTTTGATTCTATTAGTACTAAACTTTGCTTCAGGACCTATGCTGAACACGGTCACTCCCACTATTTTCTACAGTGGTTTCAGAGCAGCTGTAAGGCAGACTAAGAATATAAAGATTTCTGACTTAAGCTGGTAATAGATGGATCGAATCCCTGCTGAACCAGTTGAGATTTGAACAATCTATTGGCAGGCTGGTTGTACTGAAATTGATCCATCGATCGACTTCAGTCCAACTTGCCTGTCAGATTTTTTGCATGCGGGTACTGCTGGCAGCTATAGCCACCTGCAGTAATCATTTTGTTCTGCCAGCAGGGAAGGCTACCTGCTGGCAGACCACAATAGTACTAGGGGAGGGATTCCCACATCAAAACTGGCAGTGTTGATGGGGAAAATCGAGTGATTTTCTTTCCTGTATTCCGTGGTTGCATAAAAGAAAATCTCATCACCTATGGCTTGCCTTAATGTTTTTTTTTTAAGCTGGAGCTGCGTTGCGTTCTACATAATGTTTTTCTGGTTATAAAGACTCATTCTGCTGGAGACAGCCATACCATTCCATCAGACTCATTGAATGTGTTCTAAAGCCACCTGGAAAGCTCACACTCTGATCCAGCACTCCAGTTTTTAATAAAAGCATTTAATTCTAAACGTAGCAAACTCCTTTTAAAAATAAATAAATATTCTCTTAGCTACAGAAGTATATAACACAAGCTATAATGCAGCAGATTTTGAAGCAAACCAGATAATTAGCGTGCCTAAAACAAAGTACAGTTAGTCACATAAAAGCATAGTTCTCTCAGTTCATAAACCAATTCTGTTAGATCTTGCATATTGATGACAGTTTTCATAATGCTACATTGTCTTGTTTAGTCCCTCCTGATTAATGGATTGGAGGATCCAGGTAACTTACCTGCATAAGGTGCCATTCCTATAACAGTGGGAACAAGGCCTCTGTAATATCCACGGAATCCTCCCTCCTAGGAGTTAAATAAAAAGAAAATTCAGTGCTTTGAATGCACACAAAGTATTTTTTTGACAGTAGCAGAATATTAATGTGTATTAATGTCGATTCACAAGCACTTCAATGCTCTGATAATGATGATACAAACTCCACAAACACATCCAATGCAGAAGGATTACACATTAAAAACTCATCTAATAGCACTTTGTATTTCTATAAGAGACATACCTTTGTGTAAATACTCTTAAAAGCATCTATGATTCCATTGTACTTGTGTTCTCCTTTCACTTGAAATGCAAGACGAGCTCTGACCATATCCAGAGGATAAGTGCACATTACTGCAGTAATTCCTAAAATAAAGACAAAATGAAAACTCCAATCAAAACCCATGCTTATAGATTTAGTTGAAGGAAGGCTTTGTTCCCTTTCTATGCTTTTATTACTCTCAGTGCCTCCATAGGGCAGACTCCCCCACACTTCTTGCCCCTGTAACAAGGGGTGTCACTGGGACAGGAAGTGTGACAATTGGTGTCACTCAGACAGGGAGGGTGACATGGGGTGTCATTGGGGCAGGAATTGAGAGGATAAATACAGCAATTAAGAATCCGACAAAAGGTTCTAACTCTTCCCAAATTGTATCACTGCTTGTGTCTCTGTAGAAGATGTTTTGCTTAACCTCTTTATTCACTGATGCGGAACAGAAAGTGAGGGAAAATCTCATTTATTAGGGGCATTGACAACATTACAATCTATCTCTCTCTATCCAAAACTAAAAAACAAAATAGTTTTGGCTGAAATGCACCATTGTTAATACAATGCACATTCTGATTGGTATTTCTGCTATGCCAATGTAAAGCAGAACTTGACCCTAAAAGGGGAAGTACTGCTTTATGCCCTCTTCCCCCCTCCTCTTCTATTTTTGGCACATTTTCAGTGGGGGGACAACGGGTACCTAGTTTTGACAGGTGCTTGCTCCCACTTCCAGCCTGATCACCGCAGTGATTCCACCGGAGGTTTCCCAACTCCCTGCCCGCAACTTTCTGGGAAACGTCGCAGAAGGCTGCAGGACCATTCACAAAGCGCAGCGTGGCTAATGCATGTGCAGTTAGCAGCCGTCTATGAAGCTGCAGGGAAACACAGCATGCTGGCACCGTGGACCCAAAGACCAGCAAAGAAGCTGTTTGGGTGAGCACGGTACTGGATCCTTGGACAGGTAAGCATACTTTTATTAAAAGTCAGCAGCTACAGTATTTGTAACTGCTGACATTTACTGTATTTTTCGCTCCATAAGACGCACATTTCCCCCCCCAAAAAAAATGGGGGTGGGAAGAGGGTGGAGCCTAGCCGGTGACATCACGCTGTTCGGGCCACGTGGAGGACGGCGGCCATCTTTACTGCTGTGAGTTTTTACTATATGTATATTCACAAAATAAAGTAGAATATACTGCACTATTAAGATCTTTGCTTGGGATTTATGCTTGCGTTTTATTACGAGCCCCCCCTTTCAAGGTTGATCCCTGTTTTGGTGCCCCATACCTGCCACTGTGAGGTTTCCATGCTGGATGGCTTAGTATCTAGGATACCTGGATCATGACCCCCTCCTGCATGGATGAGTAATACCACTTGGAGAGAGATGATACAGTGATCACCTGTCATGCTGCTGGTTTGCAAGATGATCTCCTGATTCTTGCCTTTTCCAGATCCTGATGACCAGGAGTGGTCTGACAACTCAAAGGCGCATATATATGTGCAAAATATACCCATTCACAGTCACGGGAGTCACTGTTTTCACCTTTATTTGAATATTGGACGTTATATCATTACTTTGCGTGATTTGATAACCAATTTACTATATGTCGCTTATTGCACTTCAAACGTCACCATCATAGACGTTTTACACTTGCTATTACATCAGCGCTCCACAGTGCATTTATATGAATATATGACACAATATTGTCTATTTATTTTTACTTATATCTCTTTAATATAGCGCTGCATTCTCTGACAGTAAAAGCTATCAGTGCAAAGACCCCAAATCAATAAATTATATACTATCTAGATAAATGTACAAATATATATAAATCTCTTAAGATATGATAAATCAATGAGTGGCTTAAACCTCAATACAAAAAAAATATGTGCAAAGAATGTGCACTGAATCATAATCAATCGATATGTCACAGTGATATTAAATATTTTCATTCCAAAGTCATTATAAAGTGCAACAGTGGTAGAAAAAAAATTCCAGTAAATAAAGCGAGTCCCATATACTTCATACATTCAATTTCTGTGCAATCTCCTACTGAAATTAAGTCGATCTTCAGACATTGCAAGGAAACTCCAGGGTCCTTAGGGCCAGTTCACACTACAAAAATGCACTCTGGATACGTTTTTGCTTGCAGTTCACACCACACGCAGTTCCGGTGCAGTTTGTTATGTTCCAGTATGGTTCTGTGCAGAAAAAAATGCAGCACGTTCTCTTTTTTTTTCTCCACCGGAAACTGGCTGGAACTGACTGCACTATTGTGAACCAGGGACATTGGAATACATGGAAAACACTGCGTGCATTTTTTATGCAGAAAAAAAGTGCACTGAACTGCACAGAACCAATCCTAAAGTGTGGGCACGTTGATGTGACCAAAATGCATCCGCACAAAAACTGCATCGTCTTTCTGACCCTGTGGCTTCCGTGCAGCCCTCGCACTCGCGATCATGCTGCAGAATGAGATGCGTGGGGCTGATGAATGAATGGCACCCCCCCCCCCGCGTCTCGCAAGAGAAATGCAATGCGGCTGCAGGTGGTTGCAGGGATCGCATTGATATCTGCAACCAGCCACTAGTGCACGGGCTAGTGTGAAGTGAATTTCGGACACATGTGAGGGCTCAGTACAGCAAATGTGAGGACTCAGTACACCAAATGAAAGACAGTGTAAAAAATGATTTTTTTTTTTTTATTATAAATAATAAAATAAATGTAAAAAAAGCTCTCAAGTGCCCCCATCACCCTGTGCTCGCAAATACTGCGCACAGCAAATGCTGTGGATTATGTCACACCGCAGGAGCCGCTCAACAAGCCACAGAACGATATAGAAGCTAGGCAAGGGTTAACTTTCTGGATAAACAGCGCAACATTGGATACATCTCCACAGCTTCGGGAGATGACTAAACCATTTCCCACATGAGGTTATAAAGTCAGGATTCTGGAGGGAGTTGTTACAACAAATTCACAGCCGCCTGGACAGGTGATCCTCACTTATCACCACCTGGGATCCGCTGAATCGCAGGCAGAATCACCAAAACACATCGCACATTCAGCATATTCAGGAATGGCACTATGGCATTATAGCGCTGCAATCCGCATGATGCAAAGTGTGCTGCCCAAAAAGAAGCTCCAGGACTTTTTTTGGCCAACACGCAGCACATGACAATCACGGCAAAACCGCAGCGAGTTTTTAGGTGCCAAAACAAATGGCACCTGAACACATCGTTGTGTGATATGTTATTTTTAGCAAAGCATTTTAAAATAGCGGGCAGAATCACCGTGATTCTGGCCACCTTTCAAAACACCCAAGTGTCAGTGTCCAGTCATACAGAGTGCAAGTTGCCATGCAATTTTCAAATCGCATGGCAAGTCGCACCTCACAAGTCACACCACAATTTAAAATTGTGTGATTTGCGTGGAATTTCAGGGCGATTTCTGAAGACTTTTAGCCTGGGTTCACACTAATGTGGTGTGGCACATCACATGCGATTCTTACAGGAACTACACCACATTCCTGTGCAAGTCAGATGGGATTTCTGTGCACTGCAATTTGAGCCATGCCTTTTGTATGGCTCAAATCGCACCGCATCCGCACCAAAAAAGTGCAGGACCCTGTTTTAGTCTACACCAGAATCAGATCATATGGGCGTTCACACCCACGCGATCCGATTCTGTACATCGCACCACATTTTGTGAAATGATTTCGGAGTGTCGTTAACTTAAAATACACTTCCGCAGTGGTTCGTATGAACGGGGTGCGATTATAATGTGATTCATTTCAATGGCACATGAAAATGCAAGAAGTTTTTGCAGTGATTGTGCCGCATTTCTCCACGCACCAAACGGGGCGCGACTGCGCAAACAAAATCGCAGGACGCACATCGCCCCAAAAATATTCTGGAACCTTTTTTGGCCATTGCTCATCCTGCGATTTCATTTGCGCAACGGTGGCGTGTTTGACGCACAGAAAGAAACATCACAATTGCAGCAAAAATGCCCTGCGTTCTTAGGTGGCACTGAAATGAATGGCACCTGAAAACACGATCGTGCATTTTCACAGTTTTACAATGTGTTTTCAAATCGAGGGCGGAATCGCGGCAATTCCGCCCAGGATTTGAAAAAGTCTAGTGTGAATGGAGCCTTACTGCAATAAAACAGAACACAAAAAATCTGACCAATAAATGATGCTAAAGTTGTTGTAAAGGCCTAAAGTGTTTCTAAAGGTAATTTTTTTAACAAAAATGTTATACTTACCTGCTCTGTTCAGTGGTTTTGCACACAGCAGCCCCAATCTTCCTCTTCTCTGGTCCCCTGACGGAGCTCCTGGCCCCTCCTCTTTATCCAGTGTCCCCACAGGAAGCTGCTTCCTATGGGGGCACTCGTGCAGGCTCACTCCTGAGCCCCACACTGCCTGCATCCATAGACAGACAGCTGAGCACGGCCCAGCTCCATCTTTACAGATTTTAACTGACAACAGTAGCCGGCTGCTATGGATCTGCCCTGTAAGGAGGGACAGAGCAGAGAGAGTCGCTGCTCTCATGCACAGTGCTGGATTGTGATGGGGCTCAGGTAAGTATAAGGGGGAGGGAGGAGCTGGATACAGACGTTTTTTTTACTTTCATGCATAAAATGCAAGAAGGCAAAGAAACTTCAGCCTTTAAAACACTACGTATTTTTTAACTTAAATGTATTCTCTGCATTAAGGTGAAAAACTCTTTCATAATCCGCTCCCCCCCAGCCACCCCACCCCCTAAATACTTACCTGGCTCTTCTGTTGATCCAGTGCTGTGCCCCAGAGCAGCATCCCTGTACTTTTCCTCCCCTCAAAGGACACAGAGGCAGCAGCAGGAGCCATTGGCTTCTCCTGCTGCCAATCAAATCCTATGAGGAGGGAGCAGTGGTTGGGGCCAGGCCGCGCTGTGTGTGTGTCTATGGACAAACACAGCCCGGCTTGGAAACAAGTCCACACGTTTGTCCCCACATCACACAGCCGGATATGGGAGCAGACACAGTTTTTTTTTTCTGTATCAAAAAGCATGGAAAGTAGGTTATATGGTTTCCAATGGCAAAGTTCACACCAGTGCAGTCAGTTCCAGGGCGTTCCAGTTATGAAAATGAAAATGAGAACATGCTGCATTTTCCCTGCACTGGACTGAAACACGGTACAACGCATCAAAAATGCAACGGACCCCAGTACAGTGAAAAAAAAAAAAAAAAGGAAGAAGAAAAAAAGCATCTGGAATGTATCTGGAAAACGCAATAAAAACACAGAACGCATCATGTTAGAAACGCATTCGGAATGGATCTGGAGTGCGTTTTTGTGGTGTGAACCAGCACTAAGAGTAAAATGTTATTGTGTTTTGGGTACTGTAACTGCACTAATAAACACAAAAACATATATCCACTTTACAAGTCAAGTGTGTGATGTTTTTCACAAGTAATGGGACCTGGACAGGAGAGTCACTACAAATGCAGGAAAGACAAACACTGCACCTGGTTACACGTGGCTCAAGGATTCTCTGCATGTGACAGACATCTGCTGGCTATATTCTCTGGTCGTGTGGCATTTCATATGTTATAGGTGACTAATATACGGTTTGCAGTGTATGATGTTGTGTCTATGATGCTAGCACTCCAACAATCTAGCAGGAACACAAAGAAACTCTAATATTCCTAGATTGTAAGCTCCAAGGAGCAGGGCCCTCCTATTCCTCTTGTATTGAACTGTATTGTTGCTGTATTGTCTCCCGTTATATTGTACAGCGCTGAGCAAACTGTTGGTGCTATATAAATCCTGTATAATAATAATAATATACTGAAGGTGAAGGAAGGCTTAAAAAGAATGTAGATCACGCCATACACATACATTTCTTCCACATCTACTAATGGCTCCATACACAGGAGAGGCAATGTAGATTTTATTCATTAGTGCCTCAGTGGTCTTCCTACAGTATAACGAATTACTATTGCATACCATAAAAACCATTGGAACAAGCAAAGTATCGCATCTAAGGCTTCATATGCACTTTGCATGCATGTCTACCTTAGAGTGGTATTAAACCCAAAAGCAAGCATTTATTATATTGCAGCTTACAAATTCTTAGATGTGATGGCTGCATTAGTTTTATTTAGGGGTTATTTCCTTTATTTTCACTTGGTGATCTTTCCAGCAAGTCTGTAGTTTTTCAACAGAACAAACTGTCCTAAAGATGTAGCAATAAGAAGGTTGAGACAAACCATTTAGCACTGGAATAGGTGCTTACAACGATCAGTTTTATTTATGTAAAAACTTTTATCCCAAAAGGAAAGAAAAAATGGTTTGCTGTAACTGCTTATAAAGTGTGAGCTGGAGTTTGGCTTCAATTAGTTAGTGCATCTAAATCTGCTAGTACATCTAACACCCCCTCCCCCCCAGACTGACAATGCTGCCGTCCAAAGGTGTCCCCTGTGCTTCTTCATCCAGAGTGGGAGCACTCTAATACAGGAAGTGTGTTATTGGCCAGATCACCAGGTGTAAGGTGTAAACAGAAGGAAAAAAAAGTCTAAAAAAGAAAAAAAAAAAAGGAGGAAGAAAAAGAATGCAGCCACCACATCTAATGATTGGTAAATATTACTGAAATACATTACAGTTTGGTTTGGGGTTTAATAATGTTAAAAAGGAATTTAACTCAAATAAAAAAAAAAAATGTATTTCTTGATACTTACCAGCCATTGATCCAGCCATTAATCTGTGTAGATGCTCAGATCTGTTGATTGTCTTGCGTATCGCCTGTAAAAAAAAAAAAGTTTCCATTAGTCAGTTGGATTCTAAGAAGAGTGAGGATGACAGTATAGACTGGTGTTGTGACATCATGTAAACAAACATTGGCCACACAGGATATGTAGAAATGAATGGTGTTGAAGAACAACATAACCAACCTTTATCCTCAAATAGTTCTATTTACTTGGTTTTGAGTGTTTGTGTTACATGGCCAAGATTGTTGTTTAATCAGTATTTACTTTGGACTATCTTTACAAACCAGATGCCAAATCGGATATGAAAGTATGATTCAACCGCTTAAAGTCCTTTAGGCTAGGTTCACATCTATGCAGTTTGCGTCTGATCCATTTCTGCTTTGTTGCGGTGCATTCAGTGTTTTTTGCACATACGTTTGACGAGTTTTTGATGCATTTTTATTTTTGAGCAACTTGTTGCTGGGCAGATTAAAACCCCAAAATGCAAACCGCATCAACAACGCACCAAAAAAGCAGCACTTGCATTTTATATGTGGTTCATTGAAGTCTATTGGACTAAACTGCTGCGGAAAAAGAAGTCCTTGAGCCATTCCAAAAAACGCGCCCACAAAAACTGCATGGGTGTGAACGCGATTCATAGGAAATCATGATAAGTGGCATGCACTGCATTTGTTCCTGCAAAAGGCATTAAAAAAAAAAAAACGCACAGGTGTGAATCTGGCCTTAAGGCCCCTTTCACAGGAGCGGTCCGCCTGTCTGTTTTTCAGGCAGACTCACATCATGTTTGCCTGAAGTGGTGGTCAGCCTTTCAGTACCTCTACACATTTCTATCTAAACTTTCAATGAAACTATCTCGGCTCTTTGCAGATGGGGCCGCCTAGCTGCAGTGCGTCCCTCCCGATGAAGACCTGCGTTCCAGACCTTCGTCCCTAAACTCACGGGGTCTTAAATATGGGTACAGCATTCAGCCTCATCCAGCTGTAGCCTGCCATAGACTTTGACAGGCTGCTTGCAGAGAGACTGGATGTTGCACCTGCCCTCCCAGGCACACAAAAACACTGAGGGATGCACTGCAGATGGACAGCCCTGCGTGCAAGGGGTCTTACGAGAGTGCCCACCTCATTTATGGTTATGCACATTACCTGGTTTGTAAACTATGGTTTATTATTCTATAAAAGAAAAAATTCATGTTTGTTACAATTATTTTTTAAATGTGCTCACTGTACCAGGAACAATTTACCCTTTATGAAAACCTGTATAAAATTGCAAGCCGCTAATAAAAAAGATCTTCAAATATGAAAACTTTAGATGAATGTTGTGCAGAAGGGGAGGTTCTTTGGCACAGCCTTAGCATTTGATTATACAAGTGATCTTGAAATACAAACTCAAAATCTGCCCATGACTATTCACTATGTGTAGTACAGTGTCTGTGGGTTGTGGATCCTGCGTCGCCTAACACATATACAACTAACTGCACACTGCTCAGCAATGTCTCAGTGCAGAAAAAAGGGGAAAAAAACCTGCGCTACACCCCAAGTGAATAGGGGGGGGGGGGTGAAATTATGCTTCATTGTTGGTGTTAGTAGATGAAAAAGTGCCCCAAGGGCCTGATAAAAGCCACATCTGGCCCCCGGGCCACAGTTTGGAGACCACTGGTGTAGATGGAGGAATCTCGTTAGGTTTTTTTTCCATTCAGCCTCATGGCCAAGCAGAGAAAAAAAATAAATAAATAATAACCGTCTATGTCCAGGTTTAGACACCACACTACACAGACAGGCTTCCACATGTTTGCAAAATGTGTGCAACTAATGGCTTGTTTACACAAGTATTGTCCTCTGAAGAGCAATCTGCAGTGGACTGCCTTTCAGAGGATGTCTGACAGGCATTATTAGGTCTCCTCCTCACCGCCTGGTTTAGTCCCTAAAAGCCCACAACACACCACAACCGTGTGAACCGCATGCAGCTGCGATGTGGCTGCATTCAAATAGGTTGCGTTTGTAAATTTTGCCATACCACAAAAACGCAGGTTCACTTTAATGTGACACAATGACAACAAGCAGACTTGTTTTAATCATGGAGAAGATTTTATAGATACAAAGTTCAGGCATGGGCAGGCCCATTTGAAAAATAAAGTGACCTTGAACCTTTCATGCTGTAAAAACTGTATAATTCCTTTCACTTTATAACTTGGCAAGCTAAAATGTACAGCATAATGAGATTTTCATTTTTCTGACCACTTATTTGACTAGTGCCACCCAGGAGTTCCATGGCTACAGCCATTCTGGGAAGTTAGGTATAAAGGGCTGAGGTGTGTTACTCTGCAGACAGAAACAGCAGCAGCAACTTTTCATATACCTGAAAAGAGACTTGTAATCAGCAAATACTCTAAAAGATAGGGAATTCCTGTTTAAACTGGGTAAACACCTCTAAAGGAGATAAGAATTGGAGGCATGATTAACCATTTGCCGCCCGGCCTATAGCCATTTGGCGGCCGCAAAAATGCATTACCTTTCCGGGGTGTACGCCATTTGGCATCCTCCCGCACATGTGCAGTTCGCGCAGTTGCAGAGCCGCGCAGCGGCGCGATCTGTCACCGGCCGTATACCTCGGACGCGGCCGATGACAGATCTGAGTACCGGCCCCTGTTGCCGGTACCATGTGACCTGCTGTGACCAATCACAGCAGGTCACATGACAGTTGTATACAATGGATGGCTTCATTCATGCCATCCATTGTATACTAGTGTCTAGCTGTGAATGGTCACAGCTAATCACATGCACATGTCATGTGATTAGCTGTGGCCAAATCACAGCTAAGCACAAAAAAAAAAAAAAAAAAAAAAAAAAACCTGAATGAAATCGATTTCATTCAGGTAAATGCTTGCTTATAGCAAAGTAATTCTTTGCTATAAGCAAATTGTGTAAAAAAAAAAAATAAATACTGATCACTTCCCCAAAGTAGTACAATGTTACTATGGTAACATTGTACTACTTTGGTCATAGAAAAATATGAAAAAAAAATCTTACAAAAAATAAAAAAAAATGTAATAAAAAATAAAAAAAAATAACAAAAAAAATATATATATATATTTTTTTTTTTTCATACTGTCACCAGTCAGTGTCCCTGTTCACCGCCATGCCAGTTATATGATGACGCTGTACTGCACTGGTGACAGTATGTAAAAAAAAAAAGTGAAATTTTTTATTTTTCATTTTTTCATTTTCCGAAAAATGACAAAAAAAAATACAACTTCAAAAAACTTGCCATGCCTCTTATGAAGTACGCCGGACTGTACTTTACAAAAAGGGGTCATTTGGGGATATCTGTACTGTTCTGACATTCTTGGACCTCAAGAAATTAGATTGGCTGTCAGTACTTCAGGATTGATCAATATTCAGATATATCCCATAGTTTGTGAACTCTATAACTTTCCTACAAACTAAAAAATACATCCTAATTTGGGTTATTTTCACCAAAGACATGTAGCAGAATACATCTCGGCCTAAATTTATGAAGAACAATTATTTATTTGTAAACTTTTATAACAGAAACAAAGAAAAACGTTTTTTTTTCAAAATGTTTGGTCTTTTTTTGTCAATTTAGCAAAAAATAAAAACCCCGGCGGTGATTAAATACCACCAAAAGAAAGCTCTAGTTGTGTGAAGAAAATTATAAAATTTTAGTTTGGGTACAATGTTGTATGACCGCGCAATTGTCATTCAAAGTGTGAGAGCGCTGAAACATGAAAAATGGCCTGGGCAGGAAGGTGTAAAATTGCCCGGTATTGAATTGGTTAAACTGCATTTATTTTTAATAAACGTACATTCAGATTACCTCTACAGTATGTACATAGTCACGCAAAGAGCAGAAGATGTGAAAACACCCTCAGTGTCATTCTTATTACAGGGAAAATACTAGCACTCAATCAACCTATAAACCCAACACCAATGCCACCACTCAAAGCCAGATATCCAAAGGCATTTTGCTAGTACAAATTGTACCCAGGGTAGAATTTCCATCACTGGAGACTGTACATGGACTACTGCTACTGCCTAAAGCAACAGCCCTCCAATACAGAGCATTTCCTTTCCAGTTTCACTGATCCTGTCCTACCTTTTAAAGAAGAGTTCCAGGCATGGCTATATTAAACATCGTTACCATGGTCCAGCTTGGGCATACATACCATAGCTGGCTAATCCCCCTGGAAGCTGGAACTCACTGAACCTATTAAAGTGATATAAATTAAAGGTTCATTTTTTAATAACATGTCATACTTACTTGCTCTCTGTAATGGTTTTGCACAGAGCAGCACTGATCATCCTCTTCTTGGGCCCCCCCACAGCGCTCCTGGTTCCTCCCCCTTGACCAGAGCCCCCAATAGCACACTGCTTGCTATGGGGGCACTTGTGCGTGCATAAGACACATAAAGCCGTGAGTCGGCACTGCCCCCACTCTCTCCTCATTGGCTCACTGGCTAAAAGTTAAAGCATTGGGAGCCAATGATCCCCCTGCGTTGTTTCAGCCAATGAGGAGAGAGAGACCTGGGACAGCTGAGGCTCCCGTGCACATTGATGGATCGCGATGGGGCTCAGGTGAGTATTAGGGGGGCTGTGGAGGGTGCAGCACACAGAAGGTTTTTTACCTTCATGCAAAGAATACATGAAGGTAAAAAAACCTTCAGCCTTTAAACCCACTTTGACCTCCACATCAATTTTTAGTTATATTTTTCTTACAGGAGTTAGGGATACCTTTTTGTATCTGTCAAATGCCATAAACTGTATGGCCCCATATGGGAAGATTCTGACCATCATGGCTCCATTTCCTTTATAAAATCCTAGAAAGCCTTCTTTTTGTTTCACAGCTTTTATGGTGGAGAGTACACCTGAAAAGAGAATAAAAGGTGAGTTGACATTATTTTTACTAGCTAAGAAAAAAAACAAAACACAAAATTTGGTATCCCAAAGAGACAGATTGTTGCAAAGATCAAGTTTTCAAAACATAATGCTTTACTTTCAACCTGTCAAATTCTAAGCAAAAATACCCAACGTTGTGGATTCCTGGAAAAGTCAGCAAGGAACAGGACATGAACAAGGGCCATACTTTGTCAATGCTCCAACCCTTCAAGTAAAACTAAAAGGCAAAACGTTTTTTAGTTTTGGATACAGTAGAAATGGATTAGAAGACCTGTCAGGTTTTTACCACTGTGTGTTAGAGAGATTCACTCTCTCTTTTTGTCATATTTACCGTAATCACTGACTGAAAGTGAAAGAAAATCCCAAATGTTTGTCCCCAGAAAAAGGAATAGAGGGGAAATCTTCCAATGGGGACACTAGTTCCCTAACCTTGGGGGGAATTTTTTCTCACTTCCTGTTTTGGCTCTAGACAGAAAGTAAAGGGAAATCTCCATAATGGGAACTGACAGTCTCCCTTACTGTATCCAAAATGAAAAAAAGTTTTGCTGTTTGTTCTACTTTAGGAAGACCAGGCCTTTGTGCTCTCTAACAGCTTTTTATAGAAAACTCTACATCTGTGGTGGTTAAACAGTTTGATTTTAAAAAATATATGTTTTGAAAACATAGAAAGAAAATTACATCTTCTGCTTACATGCACACTTCCCCATGTTTTGTCTCTTTAAAAATACTGAAGTACAGAAAAATGCAGTAGCTCTTGATCCTGGCAAAAAACTACTGAGCTCAACCTTCCTGCCTCTGTGACACTAAAATCCCAAGCACTGTTATCAGCTTTGCACAGATCACTTGTGAGAACTACAGAACGTCCCCATGTTAAAGATGAGGAGGGGAGGGGGAGGTGTCCTGTAATCTTTGCACACTTCCTGGTTCTCAGGTGACAACTAGAGGTGAGCTTAGGTGTGTTTGAATCCTAGTCCAAAGCCGCATGAGCAATCCCGACAGAAAGCTGTCAATGTGCATGGCCAATCAAAATGCCTCTACCGCTTTTGATTGGCCATGTGCAGTGACAGCTTTCTGGCATGATATGTCAAGTGGATTTGGGTAAGATTCGAACACACCCGAGTTCATCCCTTGTTACGACACTGATCAGTGGACAATGTCATCCTAGAACAGGAAGAGTGTTACTGGCAGGATTGTCAAGTGAAAATAAAGGTAACAAAAATCCCGAAAAAAAAAAAAAAAAATGTAACCACCACCACTAATGGTAGGCTGCAATAGATTAGCTTTTTGTTTATGGGTTTAGATGCACTGCTTTAAGAGCCTCAAAAGACCACCACTGACTCATATTTCTAAGTTTGCTTATCAATAACAGAACCAGGCAGAGCGCTGCTGTTGATCTTCTTCTGAAACCGCTAGTTGCCAGTAATAATGACTTTTATACTTCCTTAGTCAATGACCTGGAACAAGTACACAGATAAAGAAAGTCAGAAGTTCTTATTTTCACATTTGTTCTCCAAAAACAGCAACTTTCTAACTTCTGAAAATCACTCAACATTGAAAAGTAATATTCTAAATCAGTGGTCTCCAAACTGAGGCCCTGGGGCTGAATGTGGCCCTTTGCTTGCTTTTATCCAGCCCTTGGGCCATTATTCCCCCCACCGTAAGCAACAGTGGGGCATAGTTCCTGCCACTGACAACAAACGACGGGGCACTATTCCTCCCTCTGGCACCAACGACGGGGCACTATTCCTCCCGCTGGCACCAACGACGGGGCACTATTCCTCCCACTGGCACCAACGACCGGGCACTATTCCTCCCGCTGGCACCAATGACGGGGCACTATTCCTCCCGCTGGCACCAATGACGGGGCACTGATTTAGCACCAATGATGGAGCACTATTCCTCCCGCTAGCACCAATGATGGAGCACTATTCCTCCCGCTAGCACCAATGATGGAGCACTATTCCTCCCGCTAGCACCAATGATGGAACACTATTCCTCCTGCTGGCACCAATGATGGAGCACTATTCTTCCCGCTGGCATCCACGGGGCACTATTCCTCCCGCTGGGACCCACGGGGCACTATTCCTCCCGCTGGCACCCACGGGGCACTATTCCTCCCGCTGGCACCCACGGGGCACTATTCCTCCCGCTGGCACCCACGGGGCACTATTCCTCCTGCTGGCACCAACGACGGGGCACTATTCCTCCCGCTGGCACCAATGACGGGGCACTATTCCTCCCGCTGGCACCAATGACGGGGCACTATTCCTCCCGCTGGCACCAATGACGGGGCACTATTCCTCCCACAGACACCAACAATGGGGCACTATTTCTCCACCGGACACCAACGATGAGGCACTATTCTTCCCACTGACAACAAAGATGGGACACTGTTAGCTCCCCACTGACACCAAGACTTTTTCTACTCCTGCTGGCCACAGTCTGGCCCTCCTAAAGTTTGAAGTAAAGTAAACTGGCTCTTCATTTAGAAAGTTTGGAGACCCCTGTTTTAGATAATAGCCATAAACACAACATACAGCATCTTTTATTTCCTAAAAACAAATTGCAAAAATGACAGAACAAAAGAAAATCCAGTATAGAACAAATGTATCACTGTCACATCCTGGAATTTAAAGCTCTCTTACCCAAGTGTCTGTAGTGGATGTTTTGTGCTTGAAAGAGAATTTTAATCCTATCCAAAGGTGCAATGGTTGTTTTAGCACAGCAGCTGGCAACCCCTACAATATGAAAAATAATGTTTTATTGTAGTCATACCACGAAACATAATGAAGTGTGAACTATAACCTAAATGGAGTTTACATTTTTAATGAGCTCTTTAAATTTCTAAATTGGACTGTCAACAATTTTGTCCTGCATTCTGAAAAATTGGATGAACTCCTAAACCAGCAAGTCTGATAACTTGTTTTTAAGCGATTGTAAAGTATTTTTTTTTTTTAAATAACAAACATGTCATACCTGTTGTGCTGTGCAATGGTTTGCACAGGACAGCCCCGATCCTCCTATCCTGGGGTCCCCCACAAGCATATCCCTCTATATAGTGTACTTGTCTTAGTCCAGGGCACGAAGCATAATTTCTGTCTGCTGCCTCGCTATCAGCATGAGTCACTTCTGACAAGTTTTTCTGACACCAAGAGAAAAAAAAAAGCGACAGGGGAGGGACTCCAGCACACAGCCTGTGACTGAATGCCGCAGCTCTGTTCCTGCTCTTGCTCCAATCAGCTCTCAGAGTTCTTCTCACTGAGATTTACAGAGTGTAACTTCAGCTCCCCATCCCGTTTTCTGGAAGCTCAGGCAAGCTGTATACATTCTGCACTTTGAATGGATGTAGAGAAGAGAATGTGGATACCCAGGTACAACCTATGTAGGAGGATTTGTTTCATCTCTGTGCATCACCCAAGGCCAATCCTTTCACTGGGTATATGGAAGCGTTTATAGCCACTTTAGGTATTTTCCAGGCAGGCTTCATTCACAAGGATTGTGATGCTTAGTTTAAAAAAAAGAGGTCTTTTAAGATGGTTATTTCACTATGTCCTTTAACATTTTCAGATATGTAGTATTTAAAAGGAAAGTAACAGGAGAAGCTGGAATGTTCCATGCTCCCAGGCAGACTGGAAAAGTGTAAGGAGAGCTCACTGTTTGAGTATCTAAGATATACAAGATGTCAGGGACTGACTCAGCCTACCAGGTTGTATACATAACTCAAAAACCACTTTGGAGTAGACTGAACCTATAAGTATTGAAGAGCCGTGGTCACATACAGATCTTCACATTTTAAATTCTTCCACAGGTGTCTGTTACAGCCATAAACCCCACAACCCACCATATTTTTTCACAAAAAGAGTTCTGAAACTTCATTGTGGCATGCTACATGGTCAGTTTATATAGTACTTTACAGATCTCTTAATTTAAGAATTGGCAAACATTTCACCTCCTGCCACGAAAGAACGGAGCCAGTAGTACTCTCGGTATCCTGAGTTTGGCAGCTTGCTCCTTGGTGGAGCAATTGTAGCTTCAGAGGTCATCTTAGTTTACAGCACGGCACTCCTTTCTAGGAAATTCTTACATAAAGTATAGGAGAGAAAAACTAAAGACTTTGGCATCCCAAGGGCTACCAAGGGGTATAACACGCAAAATATTGTATGCTCCATACATCTGCTTTGCATACAAATGGCAGCTCCACTGTCAGCCTGCAGTGCAAGTTCCCTTGCTGGTCTGCTTTTTTTTTTAGATCTGATAGTCAGCCCAACGGCCAACTGAGAAGCGTACATGGCAGACTGACAACGCTGCTGCTAATTTTAAAGTGGTAGTTTAGCACTGTCAGCCTGCAACAGCAAATGGTGTTATAGGTGAGGGCACCAAGTAAAAAATTTGCAACAGTTACAAAAAATGATTTTCCTAAAGTGGTAGTAAACTCAGTGTCATGTAAAGCAGTATAATATGACTTACTGGTTGGTGGCGGATCACCACCTGGAGCATTTTCACTGTGCGTTCTGAAGATTACGGATTTTTTGTGAAGCATTGATTATAATATAAGAATGTTATACTTTGCATATTTTCCTTGTATTTTTATTTATTGCACATTAGCACTTTGGTTTGTTTTGCTGCATTAACATATTAGTGAAATTTTTGTACATGCAAGGATTGTTTAGAGATATTTTCATTGCTGCTCAGTAGAAATTGACAACTTACTGTATGTTCTACCATCATACACGTGTACATTTAAGGGCTTCATTAGAGCAGCAGCATAGGGGTTGCACTGTTGTTAAATAGAAGTATTTTTTGGGCTCACACTGATGCGGTGCAGAATTCTCAGCGTTTTTAGTGCGAATTCTGCACCGCATCAGAATCGCACCCCGTTCATGTGAACCGCTGCGAGTGTGTATGTTAACAACACCCCGACATTGGTCCATAAAACGCGGTGCAATGTTCAGAATCGGATCGCATAGGTGTGAATACCCATGCAATCCGATCTAGTGCAGACCAAAAAAAGGGTCCTGCACCTTCTTGGTGCAGTGCAATTAGAGCCATAAAGAATGTATGGCTCCAATCACAACGCACACACAAATAGCATGTGATTTACAGAGAAATGCAGTGCGGCTCCTGTGCGAATCACATGCGATATACCGCACCGCATATATATGTGAACACAGGCTCAAAGAGCGCAGAGTGGATGAATTTTAATTTGGTCTTAACCATTACCTACTCTGTTCAGAAATTATTAAGAATAATAAAAAGTAGGATTTGCCTTGGCTTCAATGAAGATCAGACTTTAGGAGCCACACGTAAAAACAAATTAAAGTGATTGTAAAGGATCAATTGTTATTTTATTTTTTTTTAAATCCAACCATGTTATACTTACCTGCTGTGTGCAATTGTTTTGCACAGATTAGCCTCGCTCCTCCTCTTCTGAGGTCCCCTGCCAGCTCTCCTGCCTCCATAGACACATAAAGCGCCGTCCCTCACTCCCTCCTCGATGGCTGTGAATGACAGCAGTGGGAGCCAATGGGGAGGGAGAAAGCAGAGAGAGAGCTTTAGCTCTCATGCATAGCACTGGATTGAGGTGGGGCTCAGGTAAACATAAAGACGGGGGGGCCTTTATTCAGAAAGTTTTTTTTTACCTTAATGAGAAGAATGCAATAAAAAGTAAAAAACCTTCAGCCTTTAGAACCACTATAAATATATCCTTTCATTCTCCTGTACTACAATGGCAGCATGAAAGGAGAACAGTTTACTTTTCAGTTTTATACGTCATGTCCTCACTTCCAATCTCTCTTTTGCAGGCCATAGACGGGTCGTTTATCGGCCAAATTTTTGTCCACACGAAAAATTGGCCGATAAGTACGCCGTTAGTGGGGCCAGCCCGTCGGCCGTATTTTGTGGAGCTCCTCATTTATTTTTACCGGTCATGCTGGAAAATCCGCGAAAAACGGCCGTTTTTTTTCGTGGACATTGGTGGCAGCATCGGCAACGGGGCCGCCCGATTTTTCGTTTATTGGCCGATAAACGGCCCGTCTATGGCCTGCCTTTGCTGCTATACTCTGCTATAAAAATCAGAGAGCCTTCTACTACAGCTGCTGATCACACACAGGTAAACACAATAAAAACAAACAAACAATCTCTTCTATTGTACAGCCCTCAATGTGTACATTGTTCCCCTGGAAATCAAAGGGGCAATTGTTAGCACATAGAATGTCTATGTCCATTCCCCAACTTAGATTGATCTGTAGCTACAATTCCAAAACAGATCACTCAAGCCGGTCACACATGGATCGAAATTTGACTGGCTCAGCAGGTAAGTCTCCTTGCTGTCAGAATACAATGACACAGCGGGAAGGATTCCTCCATCCACCTAGAACGTGTGGACGGGGGAGGAGGGGCAGTTTTTTTTTTTTTTCACTAAATCCACTGGGTGAATGAAAAAATGGATTAATCTATGGGCAGCCTATGGCTAGTTTACACTTGCAGTTGGGGAAGAAGGTAGTTGTGTTGCATTTTTACTGCCCCCCAACAGCTGCAAATGCAGAGATATACACATGCCCTGGCTACAATGTAAAGCATTCGGTGTGACACACAAATAATCCCCTCCAACGCATTCGGTGGGCAGCACGATCTGCTAAACACGTCCCATTCAAGTAAAAGCAGCTGTGCTACAACCACATGAACATAGGGGTTAAGACAGGCGGTGAGGAGGCAACATAACACCGACTCATGGCCTGTAAAATTGCCCCTGAAAAGCAATCCTTCACAATTCACCCTTCAAAGGGAGTCACTAGTGTAAACAAGCTCTAAATCACTTAACGTATGTCATTCATCCTTGCCTAATGTGAAATAAATTTAACACTTCTAGGTATCAGAGGGGGGAAAAAATAAATACACTGCGGATTTTAATTGAATAACTCAACCTTTGTTGGCTGAAATCTATTTCATGTGATTGTATTCATGTGCTACAACCACAGAACGGCCTTTGTATACAAGTACTGAGTGTTTGCCTATGGAGGTGGAGCAGAAGGCGATTGTAATCACTGGATGTTTGCTTCAGATGAACCGCTCCTGGATGTCCAGGAAATGCAGCTACCCAGACATCTGGTTCACTCTGCCCGTGCTCACTGTGATATTGTGAGTTGTAAGTGTGCACATGATATTTGTATCCCGGACAGTCTGCTAGGCTGGATACATAATAGCTTTCTTCACGGACCAAAAAAAAACAAACTTACTGATCCAGGTGAAGATGCTTTTCCCTGTAATACAGTGCTTCTCAATTATTTTCTGGAAGAAGAGGAAGAGGAAGAGGAAGAGGAAGAGGAAGAAGAAGAAGAAGAAAATTGTTATAAGTACACCTCTGCATAACACTGTATCCTTATTAACGTATAAGAGAATAAAAAAAAAAAAGAAATGTGGATCAATTTACAACAAAGAATAGCTTTATTAACTGTAGCAGAAAAGATTTAAAGTGCATTAGAAATTAAAAAAAAATTAAATCCTTAATTAAACTATAAACATTTTTTGATTGGACATGTCAAACCATATGATACTGAAAAATACATAAAATCAATAAATAATAATGAATTCAAACCGATCACCAACATTTACTTAGGACCTAATCATTGGCGCCCCATCATTGGTGTCAGTGGGAGGAATAGTGCCTCATTATTGGTGTCAGTGGGAGGAATAGTGTCCCAACATTGGTGTCAGTGGGAGGAGGCCCCATCATTGGTGTCAGTGGGAGGAATAGCGCCCCATCATTGGTGTCAGTGGGAGAAATAGTACGTCCCATCATTGGTGTCAGTGGGAGGAATAGCGTACCCCCATCATTGGTGTCAGTGGGAGGAATAGCGTCCCATCATTGGTGTCAGTGGGAGGAATAGCGTCCCATCATTGGTGTCAGTGGGAGGAATAGCGTCCCATCATTGGTGTCAGTGGGAGGAATAGCGTCCCATCATTGGTGTCAGTGGGAGGAATAGCGTCCCATCATTGGTGTCAGTGGGAGGAATAGCGTCCCATCATTGGTGTCAGTGGGAGGAATAGCGTCCCATCATTGGTGTCAGTGGGAGGAATAGCGTCCCATCATTGGTGTCAGTGGGAGGAATAGCGTCCCATCATTGGTGTCAGTGGGAGGAATAGCGTCCCATCATTGGTGTCAGTGGGAGGAATAGCGTCCCATCATTGGTGTCAGTGGGAGGAATAGCGTCCCATCATTGGTGTCAGTGGGAGGAATAGCGTCCCATCATTGGTGTCAGTGGGAGGAATAGCGTCCCATCATTGGTGTCAGTGGGAGGAATAGCGTCCCATCATTGGTGTCAGTGGGAGGAATAGCGTCCCATCATTGGTGTCAGTGGGAGGAATAGCGTCCCATCATTGGTGTCAGTGGGAGGAATAGCGTCCCATCATTGGTGTCAGTGGGAGGAATAGCGCCCCAACATTGGTGTCAGTGGGAGGAATAGCGCCCCAACATTGGTGTCAGTGGGAGGAATAGCGCCCCAACATTGGTGTCAGTGGGAGGAATAGCGCCCCAACATTGGTGTCAGTGGGAGGAATAGTGCCCCAACATTGGTGTCAGTGGGAGGAATAGCGTCCCAACATTGGTGTCAGTGGGAGGAATAGTGTCCCAACATTGGTGTCAGTGGGAGGAATAGTGTCCCAACATTGGTGTCAGTGGGAGGAATAGTACCCTGTCAGTGGGGGGAGGAATAGTGCCCCATCGTTGGTGTCAGTGGGAGGAATAATGCCCCATCATTAGTATCAGTGACACCAATGATGCGGCACTATTCCTCCCACTGACACCAATGACACTTGGTGACCCCTGTTGCAGTATGGTGCTGCTGCAGCCAGCATATGTGGTTGCAGCAGCACCTCTGCACACTTACCGGATTTTCCCTCACTCGATTTTCGCGGGTCCGCTCGGCTTCGCCTCCTCGCCCGTGATTGGCCGCCTGTGTACCTTTCCTGAGCTACAGTTCTGGCGGCCAATCACCGGTGAGGAGGCGGAGCCGAGCGGCAGGAGTGAGGGAGTGGCCGGAGTGAC